TAATAATAATAATAATAAAAGAAAATTCTATAGAGTGAGTAAAATAAAAATAAACCTTGATCATAATAGTATGTGTGTGCGTGCGTGTGAATGTTTAAAATATACCAAAAAGAGATTTTTATTAAAAAGAAGACGAAGAACGTGATGAATGACCAAATAGTGAGGATTATCTTTAACAAAAAAAAACCTTAAAACCTTAAAAGAAATAAGGTAAAGTTATAAATTTAAAAATTTTTTTTCTTATTATTTATGACAGATAAATATCAATGGAATGACATTTTGGGGGGGAGTAAAAATTATTTTCTTCTTTTATTATTATTATTTAAAAGAAAACGACATAACAAGAAGAATTTTTTTTATATAATAAAATTTTATATTATTGTTAAAAAAAAATTTTTAATTCGACCCTAACCGTCAAAATTTTTTTCCTTTTTATTTATTAATTTTTTTTACATGCTACATAATTCTCTATATTATTATTATTATTATTATTATTATTATTATTATTTAGTTAAAAGGTACAAATTTATGTATTTAAATCCTTCGATTTTTTTTTATATTTTTAATAAAATTTTTTTTTTAAATTAAAAAAAAATAAAAAAAGTTGTAACAACCCCTTATGTATAATAAAATTTAATTTTTTTTGATTTAAAAAATTTAAATTAATAATAAAAGAAAGAGAAAATGATTTTGAAAAAAAAAAAAAAAAAAAAAACAAGCAGACGAAATAATAATCACGTCCATATTATTATTATTATTATCATCCGAATTAAAATCCAATACATTATCATTTAAATTTTTAAATTCCCTTTTTAAAGAGCAATTATCCTTTTTTTTTTTTTTATAACATGTCAAATATATTTAAATTTAAATTTTTTTTAAACAAATCATTCATTTGATCGAAATGATCCCCACGTAAGCTTATATGTGTGGCTAATAGAAAAAAAAAATTAATAATAATAATAATAATAATATTTTACGAATGGTTAATATATATATATATATATATATATATATATATATATATATATATATATAATTTAAAATAGAGTTGACGTTTTCTCTCTCTTTCTTTTTTTTTTATGGTAAATTTAAATAAAATAATATTATTTTTAACTTTGTGTTTGTATAAGATATTTTAAATTAATCATAAAGAAAGAAAATAAAAAAATTAAGCAAACCTTTCAAAAAAAAAATGTTACATTTATAAATTACAAGAGAAAAGAAAAATAAAAAATAAAAAAAATTATGTACCATTAATAATAATAATAAAAAAAAAAATTCCAATTTATTTTTCGATGTGAGAGTTTGCAACCGAAACAAATTTTATTATTATTATTATTATTATTTAAACGTCGGCTACAAATAGATCCGACGTCTCATAATAATTTTAAGATTAAAGTCAATTTTTTTTCTTTTTTTTTTTTTATTTATTTATATTTTTATACTTTATAAAGAAATTTTTTTTAACTTTAAAATTTATTTAAAATTATAAAAAAAAAATGCTACGTTAATCTTATAACGCCATTTTCTTTTTTTTTTTTTGCATAAAATAAATGAAATTTTCATTAAAAAAAAATACTAAACACATTAATAAATATATTTTGAAATAAAGGGGACACTTTAATCTTTTTTATTTTTCCCCCTTTTTGATTTTTCACTAGGAACAAAATGACTTGGAAAAAAAAAAAAAAAATTTCCCCTAAAGTTTTAACAAGAAAATCTTCCATAAATTACTTTACACGAGATGAATCATCATCATCATCATCCTTTTCCCCCCCCCAAAAAAAAAAAAAAAAACCAATTTTATTTATTAAATTGCACCCATGAGCATCATTGATTATATCAAATCAACAACATCCTTTCACAATTAATTTTTTTGTTTTAAATTACAACTACTCGAATTTATTTATTTATTTATTCCCCCTCCCCTCCCCTCCCCCGCAGTTAAAAATTAAAAATAAAACGATTTCGATTTTTAAAAAAAAATAATTTTTGAATTTCCTTCCGGAAAAAGGTGTAAAAAAAAAAAAAAATGGCATTTAATAATTTTTATTTGTTTATTATTAAATAAATATTTTATTTAAATCACCTGGTCTGGATTGAAGATTTTTCCAGTTCCATAAGATTTTTTTCCAATTTTTCACATATGTCAACATCGGAATATTGATTTTTAATTATGGTTAAAGTACTCGTGGCAGCTAATTTACAAGACATTAAAACGTCTGGTTTGTTTATAGATAAACCAACTGGAAAATTAACAAAAAAAAATTTATTTATTTACTCAACGTGGTACCCCACAAAAGTTATATTAAAAAAAAAAAATAAGAAGAAAAAGGCAAACAAACCTTCCACCAATTTCGAAATAACGTATATAACTCTATTACACGTTTCCAATTTTTTTTCCCATCCATTTTTATTAATGGCAGAACGATGAGATTTTATTAATAATTGATATTTTTTATTTAAATTTTCCATTGAATTATCATCTACGATTTCGGAATACAAAAACCAAAGTTCCGGTTCGTTAAAAATCTAAAAAATAAATAATTTTAATATTTTATACCGTTTTTTTTTGTAAAGAATCAACTCAAGAATTTAATTTTTTTTTTTTGTCACCTGACTCGTTAATCGTCCGAATAATTCGAGTAATTTATTTCTGAACTTTTCCACATTTTCATTTTCCGCCATATTGTGAGCTTTTGCCGTATTAAAACCGATTACTAAAGCATTTAATACCGACACGTCTAAATGTTTTTCTTTGATGTTTAATATTTCGTGATAGCTTTTGATAGCCTAAAGCATATAAAATCATTTTACTATAATTTGTCTACCCTCCTAAATTTTTTTTCATGAAAATCACTCACGTCTTCAAACATTTTAAGATCGCATGATACGACCATATAATTATCCCAAACTTTCCAATTTGAATAATCTACTTTTAAAGCTTCTTGCAAAGCTCTCCAAGCTCTTGATTTTTGTTTTAATTCGCAATAACATCTTGCTAAATTGTTCCATGCCTCAAAACACTAAAAACAGTTAATCACGTTTAAACTTAACGCCATTAAATGATAATTAATTTTTTAACAATACAATTACTGATTTAATTATCGTTTAAACTCAATAACGACTCAATATATTTTACAAGAAAATTTTATATTAGGTTTTTATTGTTTTTGTGTTACCTCCGGGTCAAGAACGACATATTTCCTATATGCAGAAGCACTTATTTCCCACTTTTCTTCGACTAAAGCCGCATAACCCAGTCTGTACCACACTTCTTTTTGTAAACTATTTATTTCTAATGATTTTTGAAAATGTTCTATACTCTTATCGTATTCCTTTCTAAAATTATTTATTTTTAAGTAAACATCATTGATTAACTCTAAAAGAGGTAAAAAAAAATTAAATTTTAATACCTATTGTAATAAAAAAGTGCCCAATGTCTTTGAGATCGAGCACTCCTTTTGTTAGATAATTCCCAAGCTTTTTCATAACAGGAAACATCATCTGTGGCATCACCCAATAAACACCAAAGTTTAGGACTCGGATTTTTTTTTAATTCTTGTTCTATTATTTCTTGAGCCTAAAATAAAAATTAAGGTTCGGGAAAATTTTTAAGATTTATTAAAATTTTCCACAATTTTTTACAAACCTTGTGACGCATTTGCAAAACGTTATAACAAAAAATAACATTTTCCCAATCTTGTAATTTTATATAAATTTCTAAAGCTGATTTTATTGAACCTATTGATGCTAATACATCAGCCAATAACGATTGGATTTGCCATTTTGGAGGTAAATATGATATGAAAAAATAACTAGATTTTTGTTTAAATGAAATTTCAGTCTCCGAATAACTGTCTGCTAAAACCTGAAACAAATAACGACTCATTTCAAAAATTTCTAATGAAGTATTTTTTTTTAAAATTAAATGTTACAGTTTAAAATACCTGAACTTGCATCATTGAACGTTCAACCGTTCTTTTGTGATTGGATTCTAATTTTGATCTTAATAATAAAGTTGTTGTTCTAAAAGACCAAATCTTAGGCTGTTCAAGAATGCAATGAATTAATGGTTGCAGTTCTTCATCGGCTAAACTATCTTTAGGTTGAGATTTTTGAGTTTGAAACCTAATTTTTTTTTTTTTTTTTTTTCATTATTATAATTGTTTAATATAAAAATAATAAATTGATTTAATAAAAATAAATACTTACAAATTACTCAATATTACAGCTTGTTGTAATCCTGTTAAACTAGGATATGTGTTTAATGAATTATCGATAAATTTAATTTTATCCAATCTTACTTCGTCATCTAATTTAAGGTCTTTGGGTAAGGCACATGTTTCTACTTCTAATTCTTCCAATGAGGTATCATTATTAAGTGTAACTTTTAAAATTAACTGAGCTAAATCACTGCATTGAAATTTTGTTCTTTTTCCCAAAGCTCCTACACATTAAACAAAGTATCTGGTTATGGTAAGAAATCGAAAATGCAATAATAATTTACAAATTTTTTTTTTTTTAAAAATATACATGCCTGAAAGTGATATTTCAATTCCTGATAAATCAGTAGCTTTTTGTACATCTGTTTTAGAAATTTGAATATTATTAAAATAAATGTAAATTCTTGCAAATTCTAAATGCAGAGCAATAATAGCAGCTTTTGAATAAGAATGTAAAGAAGATTTAATTTCATCAACGATAATATTTATTTTTTCAAAAAGTTGAGGTGATAATTCATCCAAAATTTGTTGATTGATAAATAAACTTCTGAGAAACCAAATTTTAAAAATCTGCAATTTAAAAGTATGTTGTTAAAAGAGTTTTTGAGTTTAATGATAATTTAAGTATTGTAAAAATAACTACCACAAGATCATTAAATGCCAAATATGAATTTTCCAAGATTGTTTTGGAAAGGTACAGTAATGTAGGATATTCCACAGTTGATACAATACTTTCTCCATCTAAAACTAAATTTTTTAAAACATCTAGTTTCGATTCCAAGATATTATTCGGAAATAATTCTTCTTCAATGATAATATTAGGACCAGTCCAATTTTTTCGAATAAATAATGCTAAAAGTGATAATCCTCCAGCCAATATTTCTATTTTCCTAATCATTCGATTTATTGACATTATTTTAATTGTTAAATTTCTAATGAAATATTTAAGGATTAAGTAATACTTACTTATCAACGTTATAAGATGCTTCTACCTGAGTTTGAATATAAGCTTGCAGATTTTTTTGACAATTATTATCAACTGTAATACTTTTTAAAAGATTTTGAAAAAAAGGCAATTTTAATACTTCTAAATATTGACCTTTGTTAAGATAATCAACTGCAGAACATTTTTCAAAATCTGTTGAAATATAAAAAGTTTATTTAAAATAAATTAAGGCACTTCTTTAAAGGTATTAAAAGGTTTGTAAATCTCAACGGTTTTAATTTATATATTTCAAATAAATAAAAATTTATGTCATGCATTATTACACCATGTGAAGTAAAACGTAAAATGTATTTTTTTTTTTAAAATTTTACCTTTTGATAATTCAAAAACGCTCAAAAGAAGATTTTCCGTAACCATTATTTACATAAATTATTAATTAACAAATAATTATTCAAAAATGTAACTTATATTTTTAAAGAAATTTAATAAATAACGTAAAAGTTACTTATGATAAGGTGCCATAATTCTTTAACGAGAACACGTTTTTAAGTTTTGGCGCGAATTTATTAAGTTTAAACAGTTTTTAAAATTTTTATATTTACAAATGCAGACCGTTTTATTTATTTAAGTTTTAGGCAGTATTGAAAAGAAAAAAAGATAATAAATACATTTTTTTTTTTGATTATTAAAAAAAAAACTATAAAAATATTTTAGAAATGATAATTTTTACAATTTTTAGTAAAATTTAGTACTTATTATTAAATACAATTACATTATTTAATTGGATCTTTGTAAAGGTTTTTTGAATTTCAAAGAAACTTAGAAAAAAAATTTTAAAAAAAATATATATTTGAAAATACTTTAAATCTAAAAAAAACTACAAAACCCAGCTTTTATACGTTGTAGTCCATGGCGTTGTATGAGCCCACTTTGGAAACTTTGACAGAAAATTTAAAAATTCTTTTGTCCGATAAGATTTATCGTGCATGTAATGCCCTATAACGGCTATATCCATAACGGGATTTAAATCATTTTGATTCATCTGTAATTTTTACCTCAAATTAAATATAAACAAATAAATATTTAAAAAACCAATTAAAGATGATCATTCATTACTTGTAAATCGACATCGAATTCTAACGAGCCTCCCATAAGACCGTGAGAATAGTAAATCATGTAAGTCGGCCTATCGTTCCATCTTTCAATTTCTTTGGGCTCAGATTCATCAAAGCTCCAATTGATGAGATTAATTCCAGGTTTCGGAGACATGACCAGGGTAATATGATCGGGACCTAAAATAAATTTCATGTTAATTATTTATATAAAAAAAGAAAACCTAAAATGAACATGGGTGTGAAACAATTGGTTACTAAACCTGTAACTAATATTCTGATTTTTCTAACGTTAATCAATATTTGAGTTTGATTAACGATTTCTAATGATGTCGGATGATGAATTAACGGTGGGTCGGCAGGAATAAAAACACTGTACGCTCTGCAATTAAAAAAAAAAAAATTTCTTCTTCTTTTTTTTTTTTGCTTAAATTTATAAAAATTCTAGCTAAGGCTTTACTTTTTTTACTACTTACGCCGGTCGAACAAATCTCGATGTGTATACGGGAAAACCACAAAAAAGTTCTGTTCGACAGTTAAAATGGCTAACGCGTGCACTTTCTAATTCTGGAATAACTTTAGATATGTAATTAAGGTTGTTACGATCCAAACTTTGAACAAAAAAACCAGAATCGGATTTTACAACTGAGCCTTTAGCATCGTAAAATGTTCTTTCGCAATGCTAAAAAAAAAAAAAACAATTAAACGATTATCGTTCGAGAGGAAAGAAGTAAAAGTGAGAATAAAAATCTCATTCATGCACTCACAAAAACTCACAGGACGTAGATCTCTGAAGAGCAAGATTATTTACATTATCACTATAGGGAAATCCGTGATTGGTGTAAATAACACCAAAAATGGTAAAAATATGTACGGCAAATAATATAGAAAGAAAACTTTTAGAACTTTTTAATAGTAGTATCAAAGGAACCTAAAATTTACATTTTAATTATTTCAATGAATTATGAGAAATTACAATTAAAATAATTCATTTCATCGACTTACAAGATGGCTAAACAATATGGTTGTACAAATTAAAGTCAAAGCTCCAATTAAAATTTCTGGATTTGTGTGAGGTCCCATTCTTGCAGTCATTGGAATAAGTATTGCCATTATTTTAACGGTTAAATGAAAAATGTAAAAAATTGGTAAAATAAGGCATGCGAAATGAGTAAACAAATAAAATTTAACTGCAATAAAAAAAATTATTTTGAATGTTATAAACAAATAAGAAGTACTATCATTATTTAAAAGTTATTTTTTTTATTTTTTTCAACATTATAAACTTACTTGAAAATTTTGTTTTGGACATTGTAGATATTAAATGAGTAACGGATAATGGTAAAAGAACAAGCATGGGAATAAAAACGGAACGAATTTCCAATAGGGTACCGAAAAAAATTATAAGAGTCCAAATAAATTGACCTCCATTTATGTAACGAATACATTTGTGTCCTGGAGAATCTTTCTTCTGTGAAAGTATTAAAAATTATTTTTTAAAAAAAAAATAAATTGTTTTTTCATTTTTTTTTTTTCTTACCAAAAAAAAATTAAAATTCTTACTGAAAATGTTTGAAGGAAAAATGGAAGAGCCATCGAAAAAATTATGGGACAACCGTATAATGGCGCTATAATCCATGATTTTAGGTACCAAGTCATCGTTGATTCGGTCAAATCCAAAATTTTAGAAATTAAAAGTACAGAACCACCAGCTAAAATAAAAGAAAGAAATGCTCCTCCAACAGATAGCAAAAAATTTTTCATATGGGAATTCGGATAATCTAAAAATTAATTAAAGCAAATTTCATTAAAGAAAAAATAATTTCCCTTAAAATTTGTATATGGTAAGTGCAGTATTGTACCTGGTAAACATTTGCAGGTTTTGTAAATGGAAAATAAAGACAAAATAACGGTTCCCATGTTTAAAATAATTGCAAACGTGCTATCGTAATAAATCATAAACAAATTGAAAACATCAAAGTAAACTGGTTTGGCCTTTTCATGATTTGTTTCAAGTTCTGAAGATTGGGATAATTCATTTATCAAAGCAAGCATATTGTCTCCTGTATATTGATAAACACCAGGTTTAATGAAATCCATGGTGTCATATTTTGTATGGTAAACATAACCGTTGAAGGCATGAGCAAAATCTAAACCTGTAATTTCATAATACCATAAAATGAAATTGTAAATTTAAAAAAAATTATCGAGACAAAAATATGTACCAGAATAATTTCCAAAATCTCTAAATATTCTGAAATCGGTATCAGAAGGTATGATGCCAAAGAGAAATACTTCTTCTGCAGTAACCGTTCCACAGGGACGAGGTACCGCGTTTTTATATGCCTAACAGTAAAATAATCTATAATTAATAAGTGGGTAAAAATTAATTTCGTTAAAAAATTAAAGTTGTATGTTTAAAACAAAGTCCTGATTTTATATATCATTAAAGATGACATGTTGATAGAAGATAACATAACATCACATAAATTTTGTATTTAAATTGTTTATCAACATACTTTTATCAGCCATGACTCCCCAGTAGTTTGAAATAAAATTTCTTTTCCTCCACTACCAGCAGAATCTAAATTTATTACTGCCTTGACTTCTTTACTCCATTTATGTTGAGATGAAAAACCGTGAGATGCCTTTAAATAAATTTATTAAATTTAATAACTCATATGTTTAAAATTTGATTATGAGTGATAAGTTTCTTACTTGAAGGGGATTTTCTTCACCTCCATTGAATAGAAAAATTATATTATTTTTTAAAGGTTTTTTACTAGTGCTTAATATTCTTAAAATTTCTAACATGACAACACAATTTAAGCCATTATCACTTGCACCTGAAAAAAAAAAAATTTTTTTAAATTGATTTTTATTATAATTTTATGTGTTATTTTTTTATTAATAAAAAACAAGAAATTCTTACTTTTTTCTGTCAAATAAATGAGATAAATTAATTTAAAATTAATTATATTGGGAAAAATTGACTAAATATTTTAAAATCAAAAGTTGAGGCCAAATATCCTATTAAGAAAATAAAGGTTTTTTTTAATGCGTTTTGTATGAAAACAATATTAAAAAATATTAGACTTACCAGGACTTTCTGGAACAGTATCATAATGGCAATTTATTAATATACTATTATTTGTATTTCTAGAACTTATTTTAACAATAATATTTTGTAAATTAGCATATACATTTCGAAAACCGAATGGTTTCAAAAGCAGAAAATAAGAACCAGTCGGTTTTTGTACATCAATTTCAATTTTATGTATTTTTTCAGCTTCTTGAACAATATAAGAAATTTCTCTGTTTAAAAAGTCAACTGCTAAAACTTCATTTTCATAGCTTCCAGTAACTCTAGTTCCCAAAGCAGTCAGTCTTTTTAATTGCATTTCAGCTCTTTCTCCGATAAATCTGCAAACATTTTTTAATTACAAACAAGTATGCATTAATTATCAACAATTGTAGTACTAATACTAACCTTCCAGGATATAAATGTGCATCCTTCAATTTTATTTGGTCTGGGAAATAATTTTCATAATTATAAAAAAACCTGAGAATAATTAAAAAAGAAAAAAGAATAATGTACCCAATATAATTGGGTACTGAATTATTTGTAGCTGTCTTGTCAGAAAAAGTTGATGTATTTTTTAAAAAAGTTTTCTCATTTTTAAAAACTTTTCTTAGTCTTAAACTTTCTTCCTAAAAATATTATGATTAAATATAAAATTAATGTTTTACTGCACTCATATTTTTTTTTTTTTTTTAATTAACCTATTTACCTCCATAATTAAAGAAAAATTTTTAAGTTTATTTTTAAAATAAAAATTTAAACTTAAAGTATAACTGAAAAAATTTAAAAAAAAAAAAAAAAAACGGTAATATTTTTTTAATAGTTATCTGATAGACATAAGTGTTTGAAATAAAAGTTTAATTTATCAAAACCGGCAATTAATTGCGTCGTTATCATTTAACATAATTAAAAGTAAAGAAAAATAATTAATCTATTAAATTTGTATAGAGTTTGAGAAATTCATGAGTAAGTCAATTTAATTACGTTCATAGAGTAAGAAAAAGCTTTTCTTCATTAACATAGAGTGAGTAAAATAAAATACTAAAATTAGGTATTACATATAGGTTTGTAAACAATTGTTAATAACAACAAAAATAAATCATCATTATTATTAAATTATTATTTTAAATGAATTAAAAAAATTTTTTTTTTTAAAATATTTTTTATCGTTTTATATTTCGTTCTATTGTTGAAAGACATTGCAGAATTAAGAAAAAATGGCGAAAAGCAGTATAATTAACACTTGAAAAGAATCAATAAAATACATTAAATAAACACTTGAAAAAATTTTAAATAAAATTACAGTTTTTCTGTTTTTTAAATAAAAAGAAATTATTTATGAATTTGAAATAATGTCGTCCGAGGGAGGGTTAAAAATTGAATCTAACGAATCTGTAGAATTTCTTACCAAAGAAGCAGAAAATTTAAAAGCTAAATTGGAAGAAGAGAGACAGAAATTAAATGATGTTACATGTAAGATTCTTGATTATTGGCTTAAAATTTAATAATGCTTCCAAAAATTTTTAATGGTTTTTTTTTTGTGTAGTATCTTCAGTTGCTGATAGACTGGAAGTTATTACTTTTTTGAATATAAAGCCAAGAAGATTACTTAAAGGACATCAGGCTAAAGTATTATGTTCGGATTGGTCTCCAGATAAAAGGCATTTGGTATCTTCATCACAGGTTTGTATGTATTGCTTGAAAGAATATTGTCAATATGGTCTTATGTATGTAAAATATGCCTTGCTTTATACAAAAGGGAGGCTTGTACTGTACTGTATAAAGTCATTGAAAGTAAATTTTTAAAAAATTTTTATGGCATAAATTTATTGATTATTTAAGTATTGGGTTTTATGCACTTCTTAAAAGCTTTAATTCTTTATTTTCAAATAAATACATTCGAAAATTTCAAAATTTTATTTAAATTTGTAAAGTAAGGTAAATTTTTATGGGCTGGTGAATGGGAAAAATTTATTTTAGGATGGAAAAATGATTATTTGGGATGCATTTACAACTAACAAAGAGCATGCTGTTACCATGCCAACTACTTGGGTGATGGCTTGTGCTTATGCTCCTTCTGGAAATTTGGTTGCATGCGGGTGAGTTTACATATTGTTTTGTAAATCTATAAGAAAACTTTTAAAATTGTTTTTATTATTTATTTGTAATACAAAAATTATTTCAGGGGATTAGATAATAAAGTAACAGTTTACCCTCTTAGTCTTGAAGAAGATGTAACTGTAAAAAAAAAAACAGTTGGGACACATATGAGCTACACATCTTGTTGTACTTTCCCCAATTCTGATCAGCAGGTAATAAAAACAAAAAAGTCCGTCAAATATTCTGTCATTAAAATCATCAACAAAAAATGAATTTGTTTTTAAACATTAATTTTTAGATTTTAACTGGAAGCGGTGATTCTACTTGTGCTTTATGGGATGTTGAATCGGGTCAACTCCTACAAAGTTTTCACGGTCACAATGGGGATGTTATGTCTTTAGATTTGGCACCATCTGAAACAGGTAATACTTTTGCCTCTGGTAGCTGTGACAAAATGGTTCTTATATGGGACATGAGAACTGGCCAAAGTGTTCAATCCTTTGAAGGACATCAGTCGGACATCAATAGTGTCAAATATCATCCGAGTGGTGATGCTGTCGCAACAGGTTCTGATGATGCCACCGTAAGTTTTTTTTTTTTTTTTTCATTTTAATTCACCAATCGGTTTTAAATATTGTTAATGGTTAAGTTAAAAACTTTTTTTTTTGTGTCAGTGCCGCCTTTTTGATCTTAGAGCAGACAAAGAAGTTGCTATTTATACCAAAGAAAGCATTATATTCGGTGCTAATTCCGTTGATTTTTCAGTTAGTGGTAAGGTTTTTTTAAATTATTTGACTTTGCCATGTAAATTTTTTTTTTGGTAACATTCGATTTAATTTTCTAGGTCGTTTATTATTTGCCGGGTATAATGATTACACAATTAATATTTGGGATTCTCTCAAATGTGTTAGAATCAGTTTATTGTACGGTCACGAAAATAGAGTGTCTTGTTTGCAAGTTTCTCCGGATGGAACCGCACTTTCAACCGGTAGTTGGGATTTCACGTTGAGAATTTGGGCTTAAAATTGCCATTTTAAATGATTGATTAGAAGTTTATTACAAGCATTTATATTGATATTAAAAAGAGTCTAGATAAAAATTGAAAATTGTATTTAATACTATATTTAATTTTAAGTACTATTAAATAAAAATGTACCGTTAAATTTTAAAGGAAGCTTATTAGTAGGAGAATTTAAATCAAAATACGTTTTTAAAATTTTAAAAAACAATTGTTACCACAAAAAAAAAAAATAGTCAAATTTTTTTTTTATAATAAGTGATTTTATAATCACATATTGGGGATCCAATAATTTAATGAAATATAAATTTAATTAAATAAATATTAATTAAATAATTTAATTTATGATAAAGTGATTGGTAGTAAAATTATATATAATTAGAAAAAATTTAGAAGCGAATAATACATATATATATATATACATATTTTTAGTGAAAAAAAATTAATACCAAACATTATTATTAATAATATTAATTAATATTGCCAAAAAAATTTTTTTTTAACTTCATATTTATTTTTAAAAAGGAAAAGAATAGAAATCGATTTTATTAACTTATTTATTATTTCTTACAAAGTAATAAATTATTGTTTATTACTGCCAAAGTGTTTAATAACGATTTTTTTTATTTAAAAAAATAACTTTTTAGAGGAAAAAAATTAGGCATTTATTAAAAAAAAAAAAAAAGAAGCATTTAAATTGTATTTACATATTAATAATAAACGTTAGTTTTATTCATTGTTCGTTAATTAAATAATAATACTAATAATAATAATTGATGTAAATAATTTTTTTTTGTCATTTAAAAAAGAAAAGTATGGTTAATAATTTTATAAATTATTGTTTTGAATTATAAAATAATTTTTTTTTTATCATTATATCATTTGTTTTTATTTTATTATTATAAATTGTTATTATTTATTTATTAATTCAAGCATTTATTTATTAAAGTATTTTTATAGTTCAGTATTTATTATATATATATATATATTAAAAATAAAGTAAACTTTTTGTTTATAAAAAAATAAGCCTGGCGTTCAGCGTAATTATTAATAAATGTAAATTTAAAATTTAATTTTAAAATAAAAAAAATTTTAAATTGAAAATAAATAACCAATTTTTTTTAACTTATTCATTCACAAATATATATTTTATTATTATTATTATCTATCGTTACGTCATAATATCAGTACCGTAATACTTGATTAAAATGTGATCAATAAATTTTTATAAATAATATTTTACTGACTTATTATAAAAAAAAGGAAAAAAAATTTTTTTTTTGTTAATTTATTTAAAAAATTTATTTTTTTATCGATAAAAGTTATTGATTTAAATTTAATCTAACGTTATTATTATTATTTTTTAATAATTTTGTAAAAAAAAAAATGTTTAGGATACAGATAAGGAAAAACATAGAAAATTTTTTCTAAAATAGAAGATTATCTGATATATGCAATCGATTTAAAGAGGTTTCTCATTTATTTATTTATTTTTTTTTTTAAATATAACTTAACGTAAAAATTATTATTATTATTATTAATATTTACATTCGATAAAATTTTTTAAATGTGATTTTATTATATATATAAATATTTCACCTCAGACTAATCAAATTAAAATTGATTTTTTAATTTTTTTTCATGACACATAAATAGATAAAAAATGGATGATATAAGTGATAGAAATTAGATTTTTGATATAAAAATTATTATCTGGTTTCTCTCTCTTTCTCTCTCTCTCTCTTATTTTTATCTAAAAAAATTATTAATATTATATATATAGATTTTATAAAGAAAGATAGATTTATGAAGTACTACGAAAAAGTGCGTCGTTACTTATTTTTTGTTTTTGTTGTTTTCGTTATTTTAGAGTAAATTATTATTATTATTTTTTTTAACGGTTTTTTATTTTTGTTTATATTTTTTATTAAATTTTTATTTAATTTTTTTTTATGTAAGTTATGTAAGTTTTAAAGTAAGTAAGTTTCTTTATTTTAATGTAAGTTAATTATTTATTTTAAAAAAAAGGGGGAAAAAAGAAGAGAGAAAAAAGAAGCGAGATAAATTAAATTTTTAAATGAAAAATTATTATTATTATTATTACTAATAATTAAAAAAGTTGTTCGTTTATGTTACCACTATCATCATTATTATTATTATGTATGTATGTTTTTTTTTTTTAGTACGATTTAAAATAATTCGAATCAATGTAAAATCAAATGGAAATTTTGTTTAAATGCCTCTCATAATAATAATTATTATTATTATTTAAATATACTTAAAAAAAATAATAAAAAAAAATTTTTTTTTCGGGGGGTTGGGGTGGGGGTGAGGAGGGGGGTTTAAAACGCTTATGCAAATAAAAGTTTATTTTAAAATTATTTAAATTTTGAATTTATAACAAAAAAAAATTAAATATTTTTTTAAATTTTGAATCACGTGTACACACACGCACACGCACACACACACACACCTTACGATTCATCGGTTATATTAATGATAATAATAGTAAATATTACGATTTATGAAAAGACTTATAATTAATTAAATTAAAATAAAACAAATACAAAAAAATTTTTCCTATAAGTTGTTGTTTGTTCAGTTAACAAAAAACTCGGTTTTTGAAATTAAGAATAAATTTTTCTTTTTTAATAAAATGAATTCCATTCGATTTTTTCTACCCCGCCCCCGGCCGCTCGCCCCCCATCTCTCTCTCTCTCTCTCTCTCTCTTTAAATAAAAAAAAAAAAAAGTGTTAATCAAAAATTTTCACGTAAATGCGTTAAAAATAAATTACAGCAACAACAACAACAACAAAAAATTTTTTTTTCTTTTTCGTTATAATTTTACGAATTTTAAACGGGGGGCGAGGAACGGGAAAGAAATTTTTGTTGTTGTTTGCGTATAAACGATAATTTATTTATTTATTTTTAATAATAAAAAAAAAATTTATTAATTAATTAAATTAAATGTAATTTATTATTATTTAAAAGTGCTACTCGTTATTAAAGTTTATATTATTAATAAATTATACATTGGTGGATAAATAAATTCATTCATTCATTCATTCATTCATTCGATGAATATTTTTTTCGTATTTATACACTTTACTATTATTATTATTACTTTTATTAATAGAGTAATAATAATAATAATAATTAATAATTTTAACGAGTTAACCCGAAAATTCGTAATAATAATAATAATAATTGCGTGATTTTTTTTTGTTATACATTATTAAAACGTTGTAAAATGTAATAATAATAATAATAATAATAATAATAATTATTCGTTTTGTGTTTAATTTAAAAACCTTTTTATAAAAAATCGAAATTAAATGGAACAAGGTTTCTCTCTTTCTCTCTCTGTCTCTCTCTTTCTCTTTCTCTTTCTCTCTCTCTCCCTTTCTCTCTCTCTCTCTCTCTCTCTCTCTCTCTCTCTCTCTCTTTCTATAAAGTATAAGAAAGAAAAAAAAAACAACCGGGTAATGATTTGCACTTTATTTTTTTTACGCACGTTAATAAAATAATAATAATAATAATTATCTCATAGTTATTCGAAATGTTGATGATTAAATTCAGACGACAAACTTGTTTGATAAAATAATAATAATAATAATAATTGTTTACTTTGGTTAACCGGATAATCCTCGTTTTATTTTAAAATAAATTATAATTTATTACTTAATTTATTTATTTTATAAATAAATAAATAAGTAAATAAATCTTTTAAATTTTTACATAAATCATAAACAAAAATACATTTATTATTATCATTATTATTTTTTTAAACAATTCATTTTTAAATAAAACTCTTATACTTTTATTTAATATAAAAAGATTAAATAAATTTTTTTACAAATCAATTATATTTTCAAATTTTTATTCACTCGTTGAATAAACAACGTGAAATTGATAATAATAATAATAATAATAATAATAATAATAATAATAATAATAATAATAATAATAATAATAATAATAATAATAATAATACTTAAAAATAAAAATGACGAGTAAATAAATTAAATAAAAATATTTTTAAATTTTAGATTTATTTGATACTAATTTATTTTTTTTGTTTTTGTATTTATTTAAAATCTGTAATAAATTTTATATTATTATTATTATTATTAAAGAAAATCGTAATTAAATATTCTTTTTTTTTGGGGGGGGGAACACTAAAACAAATAAGAAAAAATAAAATAAAGAAATTTTTTTAAATTAAATTTTCAGATGAATAAAAATGGGATCCGATAAAAATATAAAAATTCATCAAACGACAACAAGACGAACAAAACAAACAACAACAACAACAACAACACGTTCCGCATTTACATTCGGCCTTTTATTAACAACAACAATTTTTTACAAAAATGATTATTTTTATAATATATTAATAAATATTTGGTTAACGGGAGGAAAAATTCGTTTATATTTATGGAATCAATTTTTAATTATTTTTGGAGAAGATCAATTTACAATATGGATAACGGGTAATAATAATAATAATTATTTTATATATATTTACGTCATAATTTTTTGTTTTTGCGGCTTCTTAACAAAAAAAAAAATTAAAACTTTTTGAAAAATATTATTATTATTATTATTATTTGCCCCATAGTTTTATTTATATATTTAGTAATTTAAGAGATAAAAACCAAAATTAAATGGTTTTTATCACGTTCAAACTTGTTACGTTTTGTCAAAAAAAAAATAAAAATAGTTTTGTAGAGTTTTTTAATTGAATTTTATTCAAAAAGTAAATTTCATTTAACGTCCCAAAAAACCTTTTTTTTTATATTTTGTCCTGCCCTCCCCCCATTCCCCCGGGAAAGGGAGGGGAGGGAATGAAACAATTTTAATTCAAATTATAAATATTTCGAGAGAGACTTTTTTTTTTTTTTTAAAAATAATTTTAACGTATTTTTCACAGGTGCTACGTTTATTTTAATTTTTGAATACTGGATTGTCGGAGGATTGTATACGTGGATGGATTTAACATTAAAACCCGACTTTTTGAGAAAATTTAAAATTCAACCTGGAACAAATGAACCCTTAAATAAAAAAAAATTTTTCCAGGTAAAAAAAAAAAATTTAATTAAATGAAAAATTACTCCGGAAAAAAAAAAAAAAAACCCCGTCAAATCGTATATCATCATCATCATCGTCATCATTATTTATTAATTTAATTTTTTTTTTTTTATTTCAGGTTACAAAACAGGTACTAGTCAATCAAATAATAATAAGTACGCCGGTTATATATTTAGGTGGAAAATTATTTATTTGGAGAGGACCGCCACCGATACGACAACTTCCGGATTTTCATTGGATGTTATTACAATTTTTATTTTTCCTTTTAGAACAAGAATTTTTTTATTATTACATACATAGGTGAGTCATTTACGTCATCGTATACGTCATCGTCATCATTTAATACGTCAGTAAATAAAATTAAAAGAAAAAAAAATTTTTCTTTTTAAAAATCTTTTACAAAATAACAATAATAACTTATTTACTTTTCTTTTAAAAAAATTAAAATCAGCCGTGTTTTTCCCACATTCTTTGAGTCACGTCATTTTTCACGTGGGGTTTTCTTTTTTAAAAAAAAAAAATGTTCTAGAAAATTCGATTTACTCACAAGTTTAAACAACAAAACGAACGTGCTTTGAACTCATCACATTTTTTTTTATTTTATTTTTCATTACGTTTTCACATGGTTGATTTTCATTTTAACCAATCTTCGAATGTTCAAATGATAATGAGAGAGAGTGAGAAAGAGAAAAAGAGAGAGAGAGAGAGAGAGAGAGGTAAGAAGAGAGATAGAAAGGTCTTTGACGTCGTCATCCCTTTGTTTGACTTACACACATAATTTATATTTAAAAAAAAATTTTCTTTTTTTAATTTTCCACCACCACCACCATCATCATCATTAATATTATTATTATTATTATTATTATTATTATTATTATTATTATTATTATTAATATATGTATTTTTTTTGGAGGGGGAAGGGGAGGGGAGGGAAATTTAAATTTAAAATCAAAAATTAAATCATGGCGAGGAAAGTTTTACGTAAGGAAACTCATTAAATATTTTCAAGTGATTTTAATTATTCAGTTGTTACCACTAGTGGAAATTTGTTTTCTTTAATTATATTAACAAACTTAAAAACGATAATGATAATAATAATAATAACAATACCTTTTCAATACAATAATTAATATATATATATATATATGTATAAACTTATTAATATTGATTAAAACGTTCATTTTTTTATTATTGTCGATTATAATCGATCGATAATTTAAACAACAATTATTGTAATAATGATGATTTTTGTTTATGTTAAAACATATTCAAATTATTATTATTATTATTATTATTATTATTATTACTTAGGGATGAATGAAAATTTGTTTCTTATAGAAAAAGTTGTCGAAAGATATTCGAATGTAAAGAAAAAAAAAATTCTTATTGGAATGTTGACACTTAAATTTAATGAAACGATTTGTGACGTAGGAAGTGTGACGTAATAGTATCGATAAAAAGTTTTTTTTAACGTGAATATTAATTCGTCTTCGAGAGAGAGAGAGAGAGTTGTCGTAAACCTATTCACGACCCCTAAAGGAAAAAAATTTAAAAGTTATCTGACGGGGAGGTTTGGAGCCTAGTTTTCTTGTTCATCATTTTCAAAATTAAACCCCCCCCCCATAATTCGTTTTCCTACGAACAAAAACGACGACGACGACGACCATCACCATCACCACCACCACCGCCGGCACATTTTTTAACGAACAAAAGAATGAATTCCATTGTTTGATTCTTATTATTTAGTTTTTTTTTTTTTTTTTTTTTTAGAAAAAGAATCATAAGTGAATGAATATGGAGTTTAATTTTTTTCTTTTTTCTTCTTTGTTGGCTTTAGAATTAGGCCTCGAGACAAACGTGTTCGTTTAATTTTAGTATTTGAAAACTCTCTCTCTCTCTCTCTTTCTCCCATTCATTCTCCCATTCAATTGTTTTATATATATATATATTTAATAATAATAATTCTTTACAAAATTAAAAATTAACGAATTTATATATAATTATTATTATTGATTCTTTCGTATCTTTTCGAACGTGATTATACCAAAAAAAAAATTAATTAATTATTTATTGTTAATAAAATTGTTCTTTTTGTTTTCAAAAAAATTGTACACATTAAAACGACAAAATTTTTTTTTTTTTTTACCTTGAATTAATAATAATAATAATAATAATAATAATAATAATAATAATAATAATAATAATAATAATAATATATTAAAATATAAATTTTTTTTATTAAAAAAGCCTCAAAACGTTGAGGTTCGAAACCGTGGAAAGTTTTTCTTTCATTTATCCTTTAAAAAAAAAAAAATTTTTTTTTTTTTGTATTAAAAAAAGGAAAGAAAAAAAGGAAAGAAAAAAAAGGAAAGAAAAAAAAGGGAAAATAATGTATTAAAAAAAAAAAAAAAGGTTTTTGTTAATTTTATTTTATTGAAACAAAAGTCGTCGTTTCCGCAATTTCGAGTTTGTAAAATATTTCATAAAGTAAAAAATTATAAAAAAAAAAATTCTTTGTGTGCCTCTCTCTCTCTCTCTCTCTCTTTCGGTTTTTTTTTTCCTTTGTGTCGTACATAAAAGATGACAATTTAATTTAATTTAATTAAAAAAAAAAATTTTTTTTTTTATAGGTTACTTCATAATAAATATTTTTATAAATTATTTCATAAAAAACATCACGAATGGACGTCACCGATAGCCATATCCGCTATTTATTGTCATCCGATCGAACAAATTTTTGCAAATTTATTTCCGGTTTTTTTCGGTTGTTTTATTATAAATGCACACGTGACGACGTATCTCACGTGGTTTTCACTCGCCATTTTATTTACGTTAAGCGAACATTCGGGATATCATTTACCATTTATGACGTCACCGGAAGTTCACGATTTTCATCATTACAGGTGAGTTTAATATAAAAATAAATAAACTTATTCGATCGTATAATAAAAAATAAGAAAAAAGTTTTCGTCGTAAAATTTAAATAAGAAAACTACTTTTCTTACGTTTTTCTTTTTTTTCTGCTTAAAATTTTTCATTTTATGGTTTATTAAAACCTTTTTTTTTTTTATAAAAAAAATACGAAATTCGTATCATTCATTATTTTATATATATATTTAAATTCATTGTTTTTTTTTTTTATTAAATAGTTTTTAAAACTTTTAAAAACTAATCTAAAGAAAAATTCTAGTCAAAAGATTAATAAGAGAGAGAGAGAGAGAGAGAAAAGTTTTACTGGAAAAGCATTATTATCATCATTGTCGTTGCGTTTTATGGTATAAAAAAAAAAACGAAATATTTTTTTTAACGTTTCCTCTTTTTAAAATTTACTATCGAGTATTATTATTATTATTTTAAATTTAATACTCATCGTATCTTTTTTTAGTTAAAAAAAAAACTATAACGGTATAATGTATTTACAAGAATAATAATAATAATAATAACGTTAATAAAAATTTAAATTTGTTTCATTAAAAAAAAAAAAAGAACGAAGAAGGTCAATAAAATTTTTCATACTTCCTTAAAAGATAAACCGTAAGGAAAAAAAAACGAGATGAGAGAGATGAAGAGATAGATGGATAGAGAAATAGAGGGAGATACAGAGAGAGAAAGAGAGAGAGAGAAAATGAGAGATGAAAAATAAAGTTATTTTGTATCACGATAAACTCTCATCAGTAAACTAAACGTAGAGTTAACGTAAATTTTTTCTTTTTTTTTTATAGTTTCAATAATAATTATGGTTTTCTCGGAATAATGGATGGATTTCATAAAACAAACGAACAATATAATAAATCGAAATCTAAGGAAAGACATTTTATTTTAAAAGGATTTAAATCGGCACGTGAAATTATACCAGACGACGAGAAAACTTTTAAAATAAAAAATTAATTTTTTTTTTTTTATTTAAAATTATTAATAAACGACGAATTAATTTTTTACACGCGTGCACGCACTCGCACTCGCACTCACGCACGCACGCACGCATAATTTAATCCTTTCGAATGATTATATTTAATAAAAAAACAAGATTTATCTCGGATTAATAAAAAATATCTTTTACTTATTGATGATAATTTCAATGTGTGATATGAGGTATATACAAGGACGTGCAAGGCCAGTCAGACCTTGTTAAGGTCGGTAGTCAGTCAGTCGGTTTTATAATTTCATTACATTATGTTATTGCGGTGATAAAATTTATTTTTTTTATTATTATTATTAATATTAATATATATTAATATATTTTTCGATAATAGAAAATATAAAGGTAATTATAATTTTTTATATAAACTTACCATTTAACCATTTTTTTTTTTTTAAATTCGTGAAAATAATAAAAAAAAAAAAATAAACAAACAAAAACAAGGAAATAAAACGTCGGCCATATTGAATTAAAATTAATGCTAGAATGTCGTTTTATTAATTAATATTATTATTATTGCGGCGGAGTCGTTTTTAAAAATAAAATTTTTTTTTTGCTTTTTGTAACGATTTTTAAAAAATAAAAATTTTAATCTCAATCGATTCCGGTTTTGTAAAAAAAAAAAAAAAATTGGCGGGGAATTTTTAATGAATGATTCGT